AAAACAAAAGGCTACCTTCATATCGTTTATACATGCCATGCAAACACGTGGTCGATTGGAATGGTCGAAGGGACACGACGATTTATTGCAAGTGATGTCGTAGCGGCATTGTCCATGAGAGTAGATGCACTTGGCGCCAGGACAATTTGGGAAGTTCCTGTAAGGTCATAAGGTCATAAGGTCATAAGGTAAAGCTTGAACCTTCTTTTAAAAGGGAAGCGTTTGAAATCTGACTCAATCCGTAACAAGCGAACAAAATAAATGCACTACATACTTGCATTTCACCGCAGCACCGTGCGGACATCTGCCGACGCCTCGCAGAGCCACCGCATCGCTCGCCGCTCCACTCGCTTTGGAGGAATGTTCATACATCTTTTTCTTGAGTATTTCCTTAAAGCACTGCGTTCAGACATCTAGTATGCTCTAATGAATAAAACATCGAACATGCTGATGAATAAAAAATTTCAATAAAGGTGCTCACCTTGTAGACGTGTCCGCGAAAATCGTCCCAAGCTGTTTTGTCGAGTTTCTCAGCGGGATTTCCAAACTTTTGGTCACAATAGTGGCACAACACTTCCATAGCTGGGTGACGGAAAAGCATGTGAGCAGCTAGTTTAGTTATAGAAACAGCATTCTATAAAAACGAACAGTGCCATCTTCTCAACAAAACGCAAGTTGATCATATACGCCAATACCGAGATATGGAAGGTATACGCTACCCACTCAACGCGGGTATGATAATCTCTAGGTGGATAAGAAGTAACGCCTCAAGTTTTCAATGTTATATAGAGAGTATATCAACAAAGTTCATGGTATTTCAAATCAGAATAACGGATATAAGGTTAAAAAATTTGAGTTCAACCTAGAATCATTCTTTCTGTTTTTTAAAAGGTGATTTGTATCCAAATCAAACCGACCTTATCACAGTGAGGACAGGGAATCTTCATATCGTGTGCACGAATTTCGTGCTCCGCTAATTCTTTTATGGTGTAGAAACCACGATGGCATTTTTTACAAGCAAATGGACACTCATCTTCAGGCAGAACAAAACTGAAATTGTCGGTTCAGGTATAAGGTTGGTAACAGAGCAAAAACATCATCACTCACTCAAAATCGTCATAAGTACCACGACTCGACGAGCTGGAACTTCTTGCGCGCTTTTTAGGTGGACTCCGTCGGTGTCTTCGATGCGACCGCCTCGGTGAACGACTAGA